TGAGTCCTCATTTCTCCTGTCTAGACCTTGCTGGTGTAGTTTCCCCTTAGACTGTGAGCTCCCTGAGGGCAGGCACGCGCTTGGGTCTGGCTTGCTGGTTTTCCTCTTTTGTGTTGGGCACAGGGCAGGTGCTTAATAAAAGCCGGCTGCTAGATTTCCCTTTGAGGTCATGGGTACAGAGACCTTCTGTATCAGGAAATCTGAATAAGGAGGGGCTCTTGCCCCTCCCTGGAAGAAAGCGTGGGGGGAAGTCTCTCGCTCTTGCCCCTCCCCAGGAGAGAGAGTGGAAGGGGGGGTCCCCCTCTGGCCGTTGCCCCTCCCCAAAAGAAAGGGTGGGGGGGTCTCTTATTCTTGCCCCTCCCCAGGTGAGAGAGTGGAGGGAGGGGGTCCGTCTTAGTTCTTGCACCTCCCCAGAAAAAAGAGTGGAGGAAGGGCAGGGGGAGGGTCTCTTATTCTTGCCCCTCCTCAAGAGAGTGGGTGGAACGGGGGGGGGACGTCTCTTGCTCCTCCCCAGGACTAAAGCTCCTGCTAAGGGCTCAGGCGCATGCGCAAGATTGCCGCCCAACTAGGTATGACACGCATGCGCCATTCCAGTTTAAACCAGTATAAACCTTCCACTGCAAACATTCCCACTAACTAAAGCGTATAATTTATCTTGGAGAGCCTGCGGTAATCTCGCGATATTGAACGTGAAAGGCCCTGTTGCCAAGCTCGCTGCCCCACTCCCCAAAGAATTATATAATTGTATACCGCCAACGTGAGGGGGGGCGGGCGTCGGTAGCGCCGCCCCCCCCAGGCTCAACAGAAGCACAGAGCCTTCCTATAGGCTGGATTCAGGCGGCCCTAGCAACGGGGAGAGGGGGTGGGCGGAACTTGGTTACCTCCTTGTGGGGATTGGACAAGAGGCCAGCCCCGAAAAGGCGGAATGGGCCGGGATTGGCCAGACGGTGCGAGGCTCTGTCGGACCCCGTCATGATAGGTCAGAGCCAGGCAGGGCGTTTAGCCGGGGAGCTGTGTCTGCAAGGCTCGGCTATGGCTCGCTCCCCATCCCTGGGCCCCTCCACGCGTGCTGCTGAGCGAGGAGGAGAAAATGCTGCTGCTGCTCGGGCCGGCCTGCCCCCTCCAGATGCATGTTACACAACCTCACCTGGACCCTCCGGCGGGCGGCCGGGAAGTCTGCTCCACCTCCGGCATCCTGCATCCCTCTCCGGGCATCTCCTCCAAACCTTTCCTCCTCCATCCATCCCTTCCTCCATCTCTCCATCCATCCGTCCATCCCTCTTTTCTTCCTTCCTTCCCTCCCTCCCTCCATCCCTCCATCCATCCCTCCATCCCTCTTTTCTTCCTTTCCTCCCTCCCTCCATCCTTCCATCCCTCTTCTCCTTTCCTCCATCCATCCCTGCATCCATCTTTTCCTCCTGTCTTCCCTCCTTCCCTCCATCCCTCCCTCCATCCCTCCATTCCTCTTCTCCTTTCCTCCTTTCCTCCCTCCATCCCTCCATCCATCCCTGCATCCCTCTTTTCTTCCTTTCCTCCCTCCCTCCCTCCGTCCCTCTTTTCCTCCCTCCCTCCATCCCTCCATCTCTCTTTTCCTCCTTTCCTCCCTCCCTCCCTTCATCCCTCTTCTCCTTTCCTCCATCCGTCCCTGCATCCATCTTTTCCTCCTTTCCTCCCTCCCTCACTCCATCCCTCCATCTCTCTTTTCCTTCTTTCCTCCCTCCCTCCCTGCATCCCTCTTCTCCTCCTTTCCTCCCTCCATCCCTCTTTTCCTCCCTCCCATGCCCACTAACCCTGAGCCCTCCTCTTTCCTCCCTCTATACTGCTTCACTTGGTGATCTCATCAGCTCGAATGGATTTAATTATCATCTCTATGCTGATGGTTCTCAAATCTATTTATCCAACCTTAACCTCTCCCCAGACTTTCATCTCCAACTGCAGTTCAGACATCTTGGAATGGATGTCCCTCAGGCAGCTTAAAACAGCGTGTCCACCATTGGATTGGTGATCTTTTCTCCAAAATGCTCCCCTATCATTGCTGGGGGGACCACCAGCCTTCCCTCCCCTAGGCTTACCAGCCAGGCGTTACCCACTCATTATATCTCACTCTCCCTATGCACTCTGTCACCTTTACAACATCTTTCAGCGTGCTCCCTTCTCTCCTCTGGGACTGCCACACCCGGGTGCAAGCCTTCATCACCACTGTCTGGACCACTGCAATGCCCTCCTGCTGGGTCTCTCTGCTCCAAGCCTTGCCCCAGATCTTCCCAGAGCCCCAGTATGGCTATGTCAGCCCCCTACTCAATAACCTCCAGTGGTTCCCTCTCCCCTGCAGGATCAATACAATCCTCTGTCAGACATTCAAAGCCCTTCTTAACCTAGCCCCACCCTAACTTTCCAGCCTCCCCTCCACATACTCTCCAATCCAGTGACCTGGCCTCCTGACTGTTCCTCCGCCTCTTGTGTCCAGGTATTTTCACTGGTCCTGCCCCAGGACTGGAATTGTTTTCCCTTCTCGTCTCTGCTTCCTGCCTTTGCTGGCTTCCTTCAGGTCCCAGCTAAAATTCCCCTTCCTACAGGGGAATTTTCCTTCCTCAATTCCTCTCCCTTGCAGTGCCTTTGCTCTGATGACTGTCTACTGTTTACCCTTTCTAGAGCTTGTCTGAACATAGCTGTTTGCACGTTCTCTTCCCCATTGGAGTGTGAACTCCTTAGGAGCAAGGCCGCTAGTGCTTGGCACACAGTAGGCACTTAATAAATGCTATTGACTGACCTTTCACCCTGGAAATTCATTCTGCCCCTGTGACTTTTTCCTCTAGTTGGTTCTTTCCAGAAAGTTCATTTTAAGACAAAGTTTCAGGCTAGGTATGTCTTCATTGCTTTCCAGCTTTACTCCTGACTCACCGGACTTTTCCCACCATGCCCACTTCTTATTCTTCCCCTCCCCTTTTAGCCTTCCTGCTATGTGTTATCTTCCCCCACCACAGTGTAAGCTCTCGGAGGGCAGGACCTGCCTTTCTGTTTGTTTATCTTTACATTCTTTGCACTTAGTACCATGCTTGGTCCTCAGTAAGTACTTAATACGTGCTTGTTGACTCGACTGCATGCCAGGCACTCTGCTAAGGGCTGGAATTACAAATGCAAGCAAATACCCTTTAATTTTTACAAAGCACTTTTTGTGCATTCTCTTACTTGATCCTCAGAACAACCCTGGGATCTAGGTGTTGTTTTTACCCCCTATTGCTGACAAGGAAACTGAGGTTGAGAAGTTAAGTGACTTGCCTAGGTCACATAGCCAGTCTGTGACAGTGGCATAACTTGAATCCAGGTTTTTGGGGTTCCAAATCCTGAATTTAGTTGTGTCTTCTCTAGGGTCACCATCCCCAAGTCCCCCACCTCTTGGCTTCCTTCAAGATTCAGCCTGAAACTCACCCTGCTCTAAGAAGGTGAAATGGAAATTTCCCTGCCCTCATGCTTTCCCTTTTCAGATTACTTTTCATCTACTCTGAAAATGTCTCCCAGGTACCTCGTGATTGACATCAGTGGGGTCCAACTCAAATAGCAATCAGGACCACTCATCTTTACATAAAGATCTTCCAGCAGCAGATTGGCTTAACATTGTAATATTATCTATGTTTTGCTGCATTTTTATTTATTTTGTTAAATATTTCCCAATTACATTTTAATCTGGTGCTGTCTGTGCTCTGCAGTGTTGTGGGCCTGATGTGGCCTGCCCGCTATGTGTTGGATACCTCTGATCTTCGTGTTATCTTCTCTAGCGGAATGGAAGTTTCTTGAGGGCAGTGAACATGTACTTGCCTCTCTGCATCACCAGCCTGACACGAAGCACTGAATAGATAAAGGCTTGTTGACTATCTTCCACTATTTGACTTGCTCACTGATTTTGCTTTCTAGGTACACTAGGGTAGAGGAATCATTTGGACCAGTCTTCTTACTGTGCCTGGGAATCTTAATGCTGTAGAAGGTCCAATGTCTGAAGTCTCAGACTCAGGATTTGAGGAATCTGGAATTACCCAAGTCGGGAGAGGCAGAGGTGTTGAGGAATCTCACCACCCGCCCTCCTGAATAGAACGTAAACTTCTTAAGGGCAGGAACTTTCACTTTATGTTTCCGCTCCCAGTGTTTAAAACAATGTCGGACCCAGAGAAGATGCCTAATAAGTGCTTGTTGATTGTCTGGGGCTGCTAGACCCGGCCTGGGCCTGGGGGAAGTGGGATTTGGAAGAGAACGGGGAGAAGCTTTGCCTGGCTAGGAGTCTAGGAGGCAGGGGGAGGGAGAGAGGGAAAAGGAAAGGGGAATGAGAATTTCTCCTTGTAAATCTGCCATGCTGACCCTCAGCTGAGTGTGCAGCTGCAGGGGTGGAGGGAGGGGATGGTGATGTCCAGGCTGCCTTGAGATCTGCCCTAGGATAAAGCTAAGTTGTGTATAGGAAATTGTTATTAGGATCAATGCAGAACTCCTAAGCCATTCAGTGGCAACCCCCCCCCCATGTTGTGATGAGGAAACTGAGGCTCAGAGGGGGTGAACAATTTGCCGAAGGTCACACAGCTCATGGAGGAGCCGAGGTCTGCATCCAGGTCCTCTGACTCCAAATCTAGCATTCTTTCCCCCAATAGTCTAGGCTCCCTACCCCCACTGTGGTGCCCTCCCTTCCCCATACCCCAGGGACCAGAGCTAGACCAAGTCTTTGGCATGTGAGATTTGCAAAGCTGGGGGAGGGAGAAGGGGCAAGTCCCATAAATAATATTTATAAACTATTCCCCCGCTATCCCAAGGCTGCTGTGCCATAAAGATGTGTGCATACGCCGTTTTACATTTTTTCTGGGGGGGAGGGGGCACGGAATTAGCTGGTTGGGGGCTCTGCAAGGGGCAGACGAAAGGACAAGTTTGAGTGAGGAATTGCCTGTTTCTGTTTCTCTCCTCCTCCCTTCCCGTCTCCCAGATTCCCCCAATGGCCAGGTAAACACAGAAGCTGAGTGGGCAAAGCTGCCCCCCTCCCAGTCGTGCCCCACCCCCGAGTTGAGCTTGCAGCCAGCATCCTCTCACTCTCGGGCTTGCCTGCTCAGATCACGGGTAGCAGCAGGGGTAGCAGCAGCGCGGCAGCTGTTCTCGCTCCCTCCAGCTAGAATCCAGCTTCCGAGATGCCTGAGCAGAGCAACGACTACCGAGTGGTGGTGTTTGGGGCAGCCGGAGTCGGAAAGAGTTCCCTGGTCCTCAGATTTGTCCGGGGCACTTTCCGGGAAACCTACGTGCCCACCATCGAAGACACCTACCGCCAAGTCATCTGCTGCGAAAAGAGCGTCTGCACCCTCCAGATTACCGATACAACAGGTAGTCACCAATTTCCAGCCATGCAAAGGCTGTCCATTTCCAAGGGTCACGCCTTCATCCTGGTGTACTCCGTCACCAGCAAGCAGTCCCTGGAAGACCTGCTGCCCATCTATGAGCAGATCCGCCAGATCAAAGGGGATGTGCAGAAGGTCCCCATCATGCTGGTGGGCAACAAGACCGACGAAGACCAGAGGGAGCTTCAGGCCAGCGAGGGGGAGGCTCTGGCCAACAAGTGGAACTGCTCCTTCATGGAGACCTCGGCCAAGAACAACTCCAACGTGCAGGAGCTTTTCGAGGAGCTGCTGAACCTGGAGAAGAGGAGACCTGTGTGCCTACAGGTGGACGGCAAGAAAGCCAAGCCGCCCACCCGAAGCGCCCGGCTGAGAGGCAAGTGCTGTCTTATGTAAGGCCCGAGGGTCGCCGACCAAGACCCTCCGCTTCCTTTGCATGGTGTCTGTCTTAGGGGCTTGGACTACTCCTCCCTGTCGAAAAGTGTCACCCACAGCATTATTGATTTTTTTAATGAGGAATCTCAGCTCGTGGTTCATGCTATAAAAAATTGGATATGAACAAATGTCCTCGGGGGGGGGGAAGGAAAAACCAAAATGTGACCAAGAAATTAAACATTTACTTGAGGGGGAGGGATTAATAACTCTATTGACTAAAAAGAAAAAAGAAAAACACCAGGACATCCAGCATTAACTGTCTCGAAGTATTCTGAACTTTGAAGAAAATCTTTGCAAAAAAAAAAACCCCAAACATTTGAATTTGAATCCAAAGACCAGGATGTATTTTGAATAATGTCATAATGCCCCTTTTTATAATGCCACGAGTAATATTGTTTTTAATCATTTTTGGTTGTTTGATCAAGAAACCATAACTTGCCTATGCTGTATATACTGTTTCCGAACACCATCTTCAGAATTCACCTTGAACAAATTTGCTGTTGAGTCTGGAAGACCTAATACAGAAAACCAGGAAGCTGTGCTCTCTCAACTGGTAGATACAGGGGTGGAGAGGATGACATTCGCTTACCAAAGATGTGCTAGATGTCTCAGAAATAAAGTTCCAACTGTTTGTGTGTTTGTGTGTGTGTGTTTGTGTGTACGTGTGTCGCTCAGCAGCTTCGGAGGCATGTGGCAGTGATTTATCAATAAGTGTGACTTATTAAAGCTCTTCCTTGCATGGAATCACTCGTGTCCTGTTGTGGTTTTTCTCAACAGCGTGGGACTTCGCTGCATTTGCCAGGGTAGCCCTTAAATGGGTCCTGGCTTAGGGCCCAGGGCAGGATCTCAGAGCAAGGGAGAGAGGGAGGGAGGGAGGAAGAGATCGAGGGAGGGAGGGAGGGAGGGAACAAGCCCCTTTTCCCTCTGGCGATTAGGATCTAAGCAGATCTCTCAGGCCCCCTGCAATGCAGGGGTTGCTGAGCTCATATCTACCCCTCTGGTCACTGGTCCTCTCTGGTGAGAGCAGAGAGGAAGTAGGCTGAACAGCAGTATAGGAAAGGCAGATCTGAGGATTTGGAGCTGGGGGACAGACGCTCTCCTCCAGAGTTCATCTGCTTCAACACCCTCCTTTTTCACAGAAGAAAACTAAGTCCCAGACAGGGCTAATGACCTGCCCCCAGATACAGGCAGATGGTAAGTACCAGAGCCCCTTCAGGATTCAGATCAGCCCTTCAACCTCCCAGCCCAGAGCTCTATTGCTACATCTCAGTCCCTCTTAAAATCAGTGAAATCCTGTCTCCCTCAAAATGTCTCTGAGTGAGAGGCTCTGCCAGTAACAGCAGCAGCAGCAGCAGCAGCAATGATAATGCCAATCATCATTCTCATCATAGTAGCTAGCATTTCTAGAGCACCTGGAGGTTTGTAGAGTGCTTCTAGAAGTGAAATCAGTTGCTGCATCTTGTTAGATGGCATATGGGTATTTACCTTGGGTCTACCTTAAGGGGGCTACCTTAAGAGAGGAGCATAGTAAAATAACTAGAGAACAGGCTTCCCTTAGAGATGGGAGAATCTGTATTTAAGTCCCATCTCTGACACAAACTGGCTGCTGACCCTGGCCCAGTCAGGTCACTTAGAGCCTCCAGCAATGGATCTGCATTGGTGAAAGGAGTTTCCTTACTGGGACTTCCCTTTGTCAGTGAAATCACAGACCTGGTACAGAAACCTAAAAAAACAGTTATCATTGTGGAAGAAGGGAGGGGTATTGTGTCAGGAAGGGGGAGGGCATGTTCCTTTTCATTTCCTGGGATGACTGGAGGAAAAATTCTATAAAATTCCCTTTATGAAAAGAATTACCATCAGTCAGTTAATAAATATTTATTAAGCACTTACTTTATACCAGGCACTGTGCTAAGTAATGAGGATACAAAGAAAGGCAAAAGACAGTCCTCAAGGGGCTAAGTGGGGGAGACAACATGCAAATAATTATATTTAAAAGAAGATGTATACAGGATAAATTGGAAATAATCAGCAGAGGGAAGGCACAGGCATTAAATGCCTTCATTAGCCTTCATTAGCATTAAGAGAGATCAGAAGAGGCTTCCTATAGAACGTGGGATTCTAGCTTGAACCTGAAGAAAGCCAGGGAAGGCAGAAATTGGAGAGGGGAGGGGGGAGGGAGGGAGGCAGGCAGAGAAAATACTGGAAGCTGAGAGATGAGATCTCTGGTTGGAGGAACAGCCAGGAAGCCAGGGTCACTTGATCAAAGCCCATGGTGGGGAGGGGGAAGGGAGAGGTCAGTGTGTAAGATGACTGAGGAACATTAGAAAGACAGGGAGGAGGGCTAGGTTATGAAGGGCTTTGAATGCCAAACAGAGCATTTGGTATTTGATCCTGAAGGCAATAGGAAGCCACTGGAATTTATTGAGTAGGGAGATGGTCAGATCTGTGGTCAGACCTGGGCTTTGGGAAAATCACTATAGTGGATGAATGGAGGATGGACAGGAGTGGGGAGAGACTTGATGCTGACAGACCCCTGCCCCCAGCAGCCACTGCAATAATCCAGGCAGGGTGAGGTGATCAGGGCCTGTACCAGGGGGGCAGTGTCAGAGGAAATAAGAGATATTGCAGAGGTAAAAACAACAGGTCTGGGCAACAGATTGAATATTGGGGGGGAAAGAAACTTGGAACCCAGGAGACACCCCCAAAGTACAGAAACCTCAAAGAAGAAGCCAATTTTTTCTGTAGCTTTTAAATAAAGGAAAAATTTAGTCCTCAATCCCTTCTCCCAGAATTCCTGGACACCTCCTATGTGAAGCTTCCTTGTCTCCCCTACCTGCCAGTGAGTTCTCCTCGATCTGGTTTTCCCACAATTCTTTTATCTCCCATTTGTACCCTTCACCCTTCACCTGGTAGTTTATTTTCCATGCCCATATTATATACTGCAACAAAATGTAAGCTTATGGAGGGCAAGGACTATTTCTCTGTTAAAATGTGTATCCCAGCACCTAACACCACACCTTTTTAGTCTAGACTTGTGACTTCCTTGATGTGGGAATTTCCTCATATTTGGAAGCTCCCTTCACTGATGGGCCACTCATTTGCAGCTTATCGAGGAGTTTAGCACTGCCAAGGATTACTGAGAAACAAGTGATTTGTCCAGTCATCCAGCCAACACATGCCAGTCTAGGCTGGAATCCCAGGTGTCCTCTTGACGCTCTCTTCACTCTATCAAGCTGCCACTCCCCAACATGGGTTTACTAAATGTTTGTTGAGTGAATGTAGAACACCATGTTTGCATGTTTGTTCTCTGGTCTTAGCACTGTTGGGGCTCTTTCCTAATCTGGAAGGGAAGGGAAGACAGACAGGAAGGAAGGAAGGAAGGAAGGAAGGAAGGAAGGAAGGAAGGAAGGAAGGAAGGAAGGAAGGAAGAATAAGCATTTAGCATCCATTATGTGCCAGGAACTGTGCTAAGTGCTTTTTACAAATAAAGTTATTCTTTGGAAATGGTTGTGCAGTTGACTTCTAGAGAAGAAGAATGTTATACAACTGTATCATGCTTTCAGTCTGCCAAGATGATGGTCTTTGTATTTCATTAGTTACAAAAAAAACTTGAAGTTTAGAAAATACTCCATCAACTTTTACAGGATTGCTTCTTCTACTTCTTCTTCTTCTTCTTCTTTTCTTCTTCTTCTTCTTCTTCTTCTTCTTCTTATTATTTATTATTATTATTATTATTATTATTATTATTATTATTATTATTATCTCCTTGTCTGACCTAAGCTGGAAATCCAGTGGTCACTCATGATTCAGTCCCAATACTGATCCTCCCACAAGCTTGATCTGCTCCATGTCTGACCAAGACGTTTGGGTCTTGGACCATGTTGGTGCCAAACTGTGCAGACACCCAATGAGCTTAAACCTTCCTGCAGCTCAGAACTCCTGAGCTCAAGCAATCCTCCAGTCATTAACCTCCTTACCAGAAAGGATGACAGGAGTGGGCTACCTCAAACTTGGACCCAAAAACAAGATTCACACCCAAAACAATCCGCCTTTACCCCTTGGAAAATGCCTTAAGCACTTTGTTTTTGTTATTGTTCAGTCTTGTCTGATTCTTTGTGATCCCATTTGGGGTGTATTTGGCAAAGTTACTGGAGGGGTTTACTATTTCCTTCTCCAATTCATTTTACAGATGAGGAAACTGAGACAAACAGGGCTAAGGGACTTACCCAGGGTCACACAGATAGTAAGTGTCTGAGCTCACATTTGAACTCAAGAAAATTAGTCTTCCTGACTCTAGGTGCAGCTCTCTGTGCACTATGGCGCCCCCTAGCTGCACCACACACTTTGCTCTGTGGCTATGGGATGTGCCATTTAGATCTCATAAAGTTACCTGAGAGAAAATACCCCAACCAAAATGATGACATGCTACTTGGGCCGATTTATCAAATGTCTCTTATGTGCAAAGCATTGGGCATACAAAGGAAATAAAGAACCAGCCCCGGCCTGCAAGGGGCTGCATCAAACATAACCAGAAACACAGATCGTTTGAATAAAGTTGAGAAGGGAGAAGGCCTGAGGAGGGCAGGGACAGGCTTTTCACGGTTGGTGGCCTCTGAACCACCTCAGTAGATGCTGAGGATTCTCCCAGGTGGCTAGGAGAAGAGGTTCCAGGCATAGAATGGGGGGGGGGGAGGAGAAGGGAGGCAGCAATCTGGGAGTAGGAAAAAAAAAAAAAGAGAAACAGGGTTGGAGGTGAGGGATCAGGGGATGTATAGGGGGTCTAAGCAAGTGGGTGGCCAGACCAGTGTGGTGGGAGCACAGAGTACAAGAAAGACACTTTTGGAAAAACATTTTGTTTCAACAAAAACAGCTTATTAAGACTGCAAATGAGGCTGCTCAGTATGAGATGAGTGGCCAATCTTCACCCTTAGAAACACTAGAAAGTGTGGCCTATAAACGTTGACTGTTGCTTTCTAAAATAAAAATGATAGCATTTATGTGACTCTTTGAGATTGCTTGTGATAATTCAGAGTAATAGTAATAAACAACAACTGTTTATAAAGTGCTTTACAAATATTAATCTCGTTTGAGTCTCACAACAAACCTGGAAGGTGAGTACTCTGATTATCTTCATTTTACAGATGAGGAAACTGAGGCAGAGAGAAGGAAAATGATTTGGCCAAGGTCACTAAGCTAATAAGTATCTGAGGCAGGATTTTGAATGACATCTTCCTGACCCCAACTACTGCAACAACCCATAAAGGAAGAGACTTACGATAAGAAATGGGGATGAGATGCTAAGAATGGCTCTTCACCCTTGTCTTTCCATGATATCCCAAGGTGGTGAAGGAAGACCTTCTACCAGTGTCTGGCCCAGCAAGTTGGGAACATTCTGTCCAGATCCAGTGAGGTAAGTCGGAAGCAGACCACATCTAATAAAAAGCCAGCCTTGTTACAACCTAATAAAATGGATACATTTACTGATCTCATTGAGAGAACTTGCCTGGAGCCATTTTTGATCCAAACAGGCTCCCCAGGGCGGGTGAGAACCAGACAGGAGGCCTCTTGGGGGCAGAGGAGAGGCTGGCTCTTATCTGTGAATGTCCCAACGTCCCTGCTCCACTGCGTGTCTCAAACTCGTGACATGCGTTGGCTGCACGATGCATCCCCAAAGGTGGGGATGAGCCCTTATCTCTACATCCAGGGGTTTGTTGGGGAATTGTGGGAAACTGGCAGAATGTGGA